ACGTCATATCACTGAAAACTAGGGTCCAATAATTGTGATAATATCCCTTAACCTTGTAGTTTTACCTTATCATGAGCGTCCGTGCTTTTATTTAAGTCATTTGCAGTATATTCTGCCCGCACTGGATATCATTCCAGCTATATCCATTGCAATACCAGCTATTGCAATAAGCTCTTGCTGCTGGCACGCTGCCCACTGCAGCTTGCCACGCGTGAGCGATAGTACAGTGCCGAGTAACTGAGGATTTATTAACCCGAGACGGTGATATTGGAAATATCACCTTCGAGGGTTAATAAATCCTCGTATTCACCTGAAAATAGGTAAATCACTGTTTTATTATATGACATTTTTATAAACTTAACCATGTGTAGCACCAATCCATACTTAGCATATTTCGGTTTTAAGCTGGTCATCGGAAACAGTTCCAAATCTTGTCAGGCCGGGTTTGTTTACACTGTCGTCTGCCATTTTCACTCCAGTGAGGCAACGACAATCCGCGCTTCTGATTGGTCAAAAATTGCAGCACAGGTTTCTGGATTATAATATTCACCTGCGAGGCGCCCGACGGGGTTTTGGACTGTTATATTCACCTCGCGTGCACGGATTCTGTAGGTTTCGGTGGAACATCGCAATATATTTAGACCTATAAGAGGGGTTTTGACCAATCAGCGTGTGGGAAAAATGACAGTCATATAATAAAACGTTTTATCTGGACTGTCCGTTTATAGCTAGTCCGTGGGTGTCCGTCAGTTTTCGTTCGTGTGTTCTGCACCATTTACGTGTTTCCCATTTCATAGTGTAATAAACCACCACAATTAACCCACCACAATTAAGACCACAATCAACCCAATCCACAATTAAGGATCGAAATCACTGATGATAGCATTGCGTACGGCAGAGTATGCGTGCGAAAATGTCCAGTGCACTATAAATCTGTATCACACCCGCTTCGCGGCAGCTTTTTGAAAGTGTGGCCAACCGATTTTTGGACTGCGGATTTCAATTCGACATTTCTTAGTAACTAGCAGTGATATTGGACACACTAATACGCGTTTGTCTATAAGGTAATGCACTTATTAACTACACAAGGTGCCAGTTACTCTAGCATTCGTTAAAATTGCATAATCAATGGACCTATTATGCCTTTAAACACCGCGCCAGTTCGGAAGTTCAACCACCGCGCAATAGATGGCGTTAGTGTAGCTACTCAGCATCACCCTGTAAACACAGGGATGCACTTTCCCCCGGGCGTAGATGGAGGGTCACGTGATGTGGCTGCACTTGTGTTAGGATTAGGATTAGGGTTAGGATTAGGGTTAGGGTTAGGGAAATAAGGCCATGTCTAGCACAGAAGTATGACTGTGAGATCTTTCTGTGGAAGATTTGGACTTTGAAGTGTACGAAGTGACTAGTGCTGCCACGTAGCGGCACCCTCCATCTACGCCCGGGGTAAAGTGACACCCGTAAACACAACGCGGTTGTTGTTGTCTCACTGTCGAGTATTATTGGGGTATAGCTGTACTGTACAAACCTTTTTTTACAATGCTGTGTACAGTATTCAGTATTTAGAAGAGTAATGTTGGACTTCCGAACAGTTGGACTTACAAACAAACCCCGGGAACCTATTCTGTTCGTACGTAGGAGAGCTCCTGTACTTTGATCATACATACAGATCTATATAGATCTATGTATCTCTCTCACTCTGTCTCTTATAGTATGTGGTTAAATATATGCCTCTGGCCCCAGAACTGCCAGTAGTATCTCCACACATATGAATTTATATACACAATGATATTTTGTACGATATAAGAGCGCCCTGCACAGAGATTCTGCTGTCGCCAACAGAGAACCGGAATATATTAATTCCCTCGAGGTGTGCATAATCGGCAGTGCCAGATGTCGGGGGCGGCTGCGTACTGTGAAGTCTGCTGAGACGGGCTGTATTTCACGCGCCGCGCACAAGTGAAGCTAACTTGGTCGCAGGTGCATCGGTGATGTGTGCCTATGCAGGTGAGCGTACTCACCATAATATATATGGTATTTCAGCAGTGTTTACAGTTTTACGTTGTTGTTATCATCACTGGTAGGGTAGAACGTCATGGAAGCTGCCTCGCAAGCACGTGGTAAAAATATTTTTGGTGTAGGGAAGCAGATAACGGCAGCATTATTGAACGAGTGGGAGAGAGCATGAGTGGAACATAGAACGAGAGAGCAAAAGAGAGAGTGAAAGAGAAAGAGAAAGAAAGAAAGAAAGAAAGAGAGAGAGAGAGAGAGAGAGAGAGAGAGAGAGAGAGAGAGAGAGAGAAAGAGAGATAGAGAAGAGAGAGAGAGCGAGAAAGAGAGAGAGAAAAGAGAGAGAGAGAGAGAGAGAGAGAGAGAGAGAGAGAGAAAGAGAGATGAAGAAAGTTAGAGGCGAGAAAGAGAAGATGGAGAGAAAAGGCTCCAGACTAAAATTTTTAAACTAGAACTTTGTCGTCGCACAAATTTGTTGTCGTAACACATTCGTCGCATCTCTCCAGACAACGCGCGCGCTGTGCAAGCTCGACACGAAGGCGCTCCGCGCGCGCGGCTTCAGACACGGCGACCCCCACTCGCTCACCATTGGCCCGGCACGGACTCGCTGTGCGCGCGTCCGCCGCGCGCTGTCCGAGTGCGGATATTGTGCGCGCCGGTCCTCCGGCTACATGTACGCACGCGATGATGGCGACGATGATCGGCTTGCCCCCGACGCCGTCCCGCCCGACCGCCGAGGGGCGCCGCCGTCCGACGCGACATTCGTGCTGGCGATGCGATCCCGCCGGCAGGCCCCCTAGCGCGTCGCACGTCGAGCGGCGCGGCGCGGGACACGCGGGTCGTCGTTCCGAACACGCGGCGGGCGGCGGCGGGCGGGCGCGCGAACGCCGGCTGCGCGGGCAACGCGATCAAGACGACGAAGTACACGCTGCTGACGTTCCTGCCGAAGAACCTCTTCGAGCAGTTCCATCGGTTCGCGAACCTCTACTTTGTGTTCATCGTCGCGCTCAACTGGATGCCGTCGATCAACGCGTTCGGCAAGGAGGTGGCGATGATCCCCGTCGTCGTCGTCCTCACCGTCACCGCCGTCAAGGACGCGTACGAGGACTACCGGCGCCACCTGTCGGACGAGCGCATCAACGGCGCGCCGTGCCGCGTGTTCCGCGGCGGCGGCGGCGGGGGTCGGTACGTGCGTGAGCACTGGCGGGACGTGCGCGTCGGCGACGTTGTGCACCTGTCCTGCGACGAGGTGATCCCCGCCGACGTGCTGCTGCTGCGCTGCAGCAACGCGCGCGGCGTCTGCTACGTCGAGACGACAAACCTCGACGGCGAGAGCAACCTCAAGCGGCGGCGCGTCGCGCGCGGCCCGCCGGACGTCGTCGCCGCCGCGCAATTCATCGTCGAGTGCGACACGCCGAACAACCAGATTGACCGGTTCGGCGGCGCGGTCGCGCACACCGACGGCCGCCGCGTCGCCGTCGGCAACGACAACCTGCTGCTGCGCGGCTGCGTGCTGAAGAACACGGACTACGTCGAGGGCGTCGTCGTCTACGCGGGCCACGAGACGAAGGCGATGCTCAACAACGGCGGTCCGCGCTACAAGCGCAGCCGCCTCGAGCGCCACATGAACCGCGACGTCGTCTGGTGCGTCGCGCTGCTCCTGCTGCTGTGCGTCGCCGGCGGTGCGGGCAGCGCCCTCTGGCTGGGGAGCCACGGCGACGCCGAACTTCCGTTCGTGCCGCCGGGCTCGGAGGAGCGCGACGCTCTCGCGCGGCACGGCGTGCAGGTGTTCCTCACCTCCATCATTCTCTACCAGCTGATGATCCCGCTGTCGCTCTACGTGTCGATGGAGCTCGTCAAGCTCGGGCAGGTGTACTTCATCGACCGCGACGCGGCGATGCGCGACGCGCGCACGGGCTGCGGCGTCGAGTGCCGCGCGCTCAACATCACCGAGGACCTCGGCGTCGTCGAGCACGTGTTCTGCGACAAGACGGGAACGCTGACCGAGAACGACATGGTCTTCAAGAAGTGCACGGTCGGCGGCGCCGCGTTCGCTCAGCGCGAGAGGGAGGGGGAGAAGGTGAAGGGGAAGAACCGGGACGACGTCGATCCGGCTCTCTACAGCACGGTGAGGGGCATCACCAAGGACACGCTGGCCGGCGGGAGCTTTCCCGAGAAGCGCGCGGCCGCCGACAGGATGCCTCCCGGATGGGACCCCCTCCAGAGTGGGATCTCTCCCAGCAGGAGCGATCCGGACGGGAGTGATCGCGACGACGCGTGGCGCCACGACGTCCAGGAGTTCTTCGTCGCCATGGCGATCTGCAACACGGTCGTTGTCAGCAAGCATCCGCACCGCGACCGCATGGACGCGAGCGGTGTCGTCCACGATGACGACGACGTCGCCACGACGACGACGACGACGACGACGACGACAACGAAGTTCGAGAGCCACTTTGGCTTCATGCCCGCGATCCCGCGGTTCATCAAACGCTTCAAATCGTCCGGGAAGGATCCCGTCGTGACGGAATCCTACCGGAAGAACGACGACGACGGCATCGCAGCGGTTGCCGCGGACAACGACGAGGCGCCGTACTACGAGGCGGAGAGTCCGGACGAGCTGGCGCTGGTGCAAGCGGCTTGCGCGTACGGGGTGACGCTTCTGCAGCGCACGGACGACGCCGTGCGCGTGCGCCTGCCCGACGGTTCACGCGTGACCTTTGACCTGCTGCACGTGCTGCCGTTCGACGCGGCGCGGCGGCGCATGTCGGTCGTCGTGCGCGCGGCCGGCACTCGAGACCCGGTGCTCTACTGCAAAGGCGCCGACTCGGCCGTCATGACGAAGCTGCGCGCGGACTCGCGGCACGCCCGCCGCGTCGTCGACGCAACGATGCACCACCTGGATGGGTACGCGCGCGAGGGCCTGCGCACGCTGTGCGTCGCGCGGCGCGCACTCGACCCCGACGAGTACGCCGCCTGGCGGCCGGCGCAGCGGGCGGCGGAGACCGCGGTCGCGGGCCGGGAGGGCGCGCTGCTGCGCGCGGCGTGCGCCGCGGAGACGGAGATGCGTCTGCTCGGCGCGACGGGGGTCGAGGACCGGCTGCAGGAGGGGGTGCCGGCGTGCATCAGCGCGCTGCGCGCCGCGCGCATCAACGTCTGGCTCATCACCGGCGACAAGCGCGAGACGGCCGTCAACGTCGCCTACTCGTCGCGCGTCTTTGCCGCCGACATGAAGCTGCTGCATCTCAACGCGTGCACGGCCGAAGCCGCCGCGCTGCAGATGCGCGCCTACGCCGAGGAGATCGCCGAGTCGACGCCGGCGCCCCCTGGCGGCTACGCGCTCGTCGTCGACGGCCACGCGCTGGCGTTGGCGCTCGATCGCGGCGGCGATGCGGGGGCGGCGTTCGTCGAGCTGGCTTCGCGCTGCGCGGCCGTGCTCTGCTGCCGCGTGTCGCCGCTGCAGAAGGGAGCCGTCGTGCGCCTCGTCAAGGACTCGCTCGGCGTTCTCACCCTCGCCGTCGGCGACGGCGCCAATGACGTGACGATGATCCGCACGGCAGACGTCGGCGTCGGCATCGCCGGCCAGGAGGGCATGCAGGCGGTGATGGCGAGCGACTTTGCGATGCCGCGCTTCCGGCACCTCGCGCGGCTGCTGCTCGTGCACGGACACTGGTGCCACGACCGGCTCGCGCGCATGATCCTCTACTTCTTCTACAAGAACGCGTCGTACGTCTTCGTGCTGTTCCTCTACCAGTTCCACTGCATGTTCTCCGGGCAGGTGATGGTCGACCAGATCTACCTGATCCTCTACAGCCTGCTCTTCACCGCACTGCAGCCGCTCGCTGTTGGCGTCTTCGACCGCGACGCGTCGCCCGAGCTCCTGCTCGCTCGCCCGCGCCTCTACGCGAGCGGCGCCACCGCCTACCGCCCCGGCTCCTTCTGGCTGAACATCCTCGATGCCGTCTACCAGAGCGTCGTCGTCTTCTACGTGCCGCTGGCGGCGTTCTCGCCGTCCGACGCGCTCGGCATGTGGGAGCTGGGCACGCTGAGCACGACGGCGTGCGTGTGCGTGCACACGGCGCACCTCGGCGTCGAGACGCGCTCGTGGACGGCGGCGCACGCGGCCTCGATCGCTGCGAGCGTGGCGGTGTACGCGGCCGTCGCGCTGCTCGTCTCGAGCATCTGCCTGACGTGCAACCCGCCGTCGAACCCCTACTGGGTGACGATGCACGTCGCCGCGCGGCCAGCGCACTGGTTCGCCGTCACCGCCGCCGTCGTTGCCGCGCTGCTGCCGCGCATCGCCGTGCGTGCCGTCCGCGCCACCGTCGCCCCGGACGCCATCACGAAGGCGCGCGTCGAGGCGCGGGCGGCAGCGGCGGTGGGGGACAAAGAGGAGGAGGTCGTGGGGACGTCCAGCTCGCAGACGAGCGAGTCTACCCTCGGCGCGAGCTCATTGTGACCCGACGACCTTCTGCTGTGACCCCACGACCTTTTGATGGGACCCCATGACCTTCCGCTGTGACACTACGACCTTCCAGTGTGGCCCAACAACTTTCTGTGACCCCACGACCTTCTGCTGTGACTTCACGACAATTGCAGTACGACCCGACGAACTTCCAGTGTGACCCACGACCTTACCACGTAACAACCTCATGATGTGTAGTTTGTCAAATTGTCGTAACCATTTATTGAAAAACGAAATGTGAAATTTCGGGCGGCAACGTGGGTATATGTGAGCATTTAGCTTTTTGATTATTTTGTGCCTGTCTTCATGTTTATTCAGCAAGACATAATCTGAGCCAGATTATCTAGGTGTTCCTTTTATATTAGCTTGCATTCATTTTTTAGCAGTTTATCTGATGAGCCCATACATACTTCTAGTTTAAAAATTGAATTAATAATTAGCGCATCACAAAAGGAGTTATTTTTGGATGCAGAATGCAGGAATGAAAGATTTTCTAGGGGCTGCGAGCATGCCATTAACTCAAGTTGCCTTATAAGCGCATTCAGCAAAACTTCTGAGAATTTCATCAGAATGAATTATCATCTCTAATTACCTTGTTGCCGTGTAAGTTGATCTAAATCTTAATTGATTATTTTGTGCCTGTCTTCATGTTTATTCAGCAAGACATAATCTGAGCCAGATTATCAAGGTGCTCCTTTTATATTAGCTTGCATTAATTTTTTAGCAGTTTATCTGATGAGCCCATACATACTTCTAGTTTAAAAATTGAATTAAAAATTAGCGCATCACAAAAGCAGTTATTTTTGGATGCAGAATGCAGGAATGAAAGATTTTCTAGGGGCTGCGATCATGCCATTAACTCAAGTTGCCTTATAAGCGCATTCAGCAAAACTTCTGAGAATTTCATCAGAATGAATTATCATCTCTAATTACCTTGTTGTCGTGTAAGTTGATCTAAATCTGACGAGACCTTTACATTCTATTCGCTAGGTACTATGTTTGTATGCCAAATTATCTTATATATATATATGATGTAATACGTGCCATAACTAATGATGAAACACGTGGAGATAGAAACACTAGGTAAATTGAAGTTTGCTCAAAACAGATGCGATGTATCGTACCGTAGGAGCACTTGACCGAGTCTTCTGTCTTTTATGTGTTATGATGTTAATTTATATTTGTTATTTCATTGTAAAATCAAACCAAAATATGTACTTGTACGTGTTGGGACTGTAGTAAGCTAAACTGTAATAAGTGAGTGAATGTCAGTATCTCAGTCACTGTCGTTATTAAGCAAAAACTAAAGCAGCTGAGCCAAATGAAACTATGAAGTTTCGTTGTCACGTGTATTTCAAATGCTGTGATGAGCTCTCTAGTTTTTGGCAGTGACCTGGGGCCCGTTGTCACAAACAAAATTGGTCTTAACATTAGTCTTAACATTAACTTTTTTTCTTAGACCGTTGACAGAAACGTTGCCAAGTTACGAGAATGAAAAATCGTAGCAGATTTCCTCATAACAATACGAAACAAAGTGATGTCAACGGTCTAGGAGAATTGTTAATGTTAAGACTAATTTTGTTTCTGACAACGGGCCCCATGTTATTAAGAATTAATTAACCCTAATTACTAATGACATGTGTAACATACCTAACTGTGATTTCTGTGATAAGATGAATAAAATCTTATTTAAGATAATATATATAAGATTCTGATATAATCAAAGCCAATATGAATGGGTTGTATGGAGTGACTGACGTGATGAAAAACTCTTAAACGTTATCAAGGATTATGTTCGCATGCGTTCGTGCGCGTGATCTTGCTGTGCAAGATTCTGTCAGTAGCTTGCACACACACGCTGAGAGAAAGCGGACAGTGTGCCTTCTTAGAATTCCTAATTACCATTTGCGCGTATTGTACTACACCTTTCCCTCGCGGTCGATAGCGGTGCTGACAGGAATGCCTAACAGTAACACCTAATATATTAAGAGCTATTATAGTAATAAGCCTAATTGTATTTTCATGCCCGTACTTGTGATACATGAGTAAGACGTAGTGACGTGTCAGGTCGGAGAGAAGTGCAGCGTCATCAAAATCAACAACGTCGGAAACAGTAGGGTGATAAGACGATATATATAATATTATATACTCGCACCGTTATTTATTACATATATTGTTCGGTTCGAACCCGTTCTCAAAAGGGATGCATTAATAAAAACAATGATAGGGACTTATACGTAGACTTCCCTCTTTTTCATAATTACCTACCATTTTCCGTTATCGGTATATTATATATATAAAGGAGGGTAAACATGATATTGTTAGCTGGATCTTTAGAAGAATTTGGACTGCCGGTTTGCTAAGCTAAATATATTACATGCTGGATGTATGGAGGTTCACAATGTCACAGTGAAATTTCAAAGTAAATTTGGTGGAGAAGGTTTATTCCTTAAATCGTATAATTTCTATGGCATTCTGCTACCTGTCAGTGCTGTTACATCGTAAAACGATATGCCATGCCAATAGCATGTGGTGGTGATATTAGCGTGTATAGTTTTCCTGCTTAATTAGTTTAGCAGTAGCAGCTCTCATATTTCACGCTCTGTAGAGCGTTGCGTAGGTAATGTGATGAGTGCTTACCTTAATTCTGTCTTTGCACAATAGTTGTTGCCTACTACGTATCGGATGGGAGCTTCCATCTTTGAAATACTATAAGACACTTAAGGCGTACGCAGCAATCTCGTGCAACCATTTCATAAACGATCCAGAGGAAGCAAGTCCTTTGAGAAGGTTCGCTGATACCATCCCGTGCCTCGCACTGTTTCGGCGTGTATGATGAAATCACATTGGGAGCTAACAGGGTTATTACTAAGAAGCCCACACACTGCTCCACCAA